TATATAATTTATATATATATATATATATATATATATATATATATATAATATATAGAAGAAATATTATACAAAATTTATTGATTTTGATGATAATGAGGGGAAAATGCCGAACACTCATAAAAAGATACTCCTCCATTCACCTTTGTTGATTACTATAAAAAATAAATATTTATTTCACTTATATAATTAAAATATAAGAGATAATTTATCATTTTACATCAATTTTATTCCTTTTTATTAAGTATTTATTCATCGTAATGAATGAGATGGCTTGTGATATTAAAGGGTGATATAGTATATAAATTGTCATATTATTTTTTATTCCTTTCGTTTTGTTTAATATGCGCGATCTGATTGATATGATTTTTATTTTTATTTTTTTTATTTGGATACAATACTTTCAAACTTCTCATAAGTTTCTTCTTCTAGTGAACTGTCATTTTAAATTAGTGATAACATTTATCCTCAAAAATATGCAAAAAAAAAATGAAAAAATGTTGAATTAAATTTCACTATTTGGGATTAAAGGTATTTCTTAAATATAAAAGAAAAAAGTCTAACCTTTACAATCTTTATCACCAATTACAATCTGCCAACTTTCCCACCAATTACAATCTGCAATCATCTGGTACAAAGTTAATGCATACATATTTTTGCTATAAAAGGAGCAACTATTTTTTGACAATTGGAAAAAAAGCAGTAATTTTTATGAACAAACTTTCTATTTTATAGATCAAAATCCTGTCATATAAATAACTATATATAATATCATTGAGATTGTTAATAATAAAGAAGAAGGAGGTAAAATCATACGAACTAATAAATAATAAAAAAATCTAAAGTTGATAATTTGGTAACTTTGTTTCAAATGCTCCAAGAGAAAAGATAAAACATCAAAAATAGTTTTTTGTAAAATATATTTTTTTCTTTTACTATTAAGTGTTGAAGTAACTTAACTTTAAAATTGATATTTTTCTGCACCTTTAATTAAAAGAGATCAACATAATTCACCGCTTCAAAGTTGTCCAGATTTTTGTGAGAAAATAATTTCAAAGTTTCTTTGTCATAAATGCTAATGGGAATCTTTCGTTTGTCTCCTCTCTTTAATCACATCAACCCACCGTATCTCTATCATCCTTTGAACTTTCTTCCACATGTTCAATAAAAGTATTTATAAATAAATTGAGATTGAAAAATAAGTTACTCTTTTACCATTTTTAAGATAACTGTTATCACTTATCCCTAAATATTTGGCTTTATCTTATATTACGGTTAGATTTTGAATTTAACTATTTTTATCAAAGTAAACATTTCAATAATAATTTATTTAGCTTTATTTGTTTAGATTTTGAAGTTTTTTTTCCACCTCAAATTTAAAATACCGATTAATTTTTTTTATATAATAAATTTTACAACTTGTTTATACGTGGGCACTTTTAGTATATATATATATATATTTTAAAATATGATAAATTTCCACAAAATAAGGAATCACCTATGTCATTTAAGTTTTGTTAATGTTAAAACTTTAAAAAAAATCGTTTTTTCTTTGCAACTCACGTTAATTTTAAATTAAAAAAATTAATAAATTTTAATTTCTTTAGTTTAAGGTGCTTATGTGACAGATTTTGTCTTTCATACTATATATAAATAGATAGATTTAATCTAATTTTAAATTTATAATGATTAAATTAAAGTGTTAACTTATCTGTTCTTTAAAATTTTAAGTAAATTTTAATTTCTAAGTTTAGGGTGCTTATGTGATAGATTTGGTCTTTTATACTATCTAGTATCTATAAATAGATAAATTTAATCTAATTTCAAATTTATAATAATTCAATTAAAGTGTTAACTTATCTGTTCTTTTATCGGTTTTGAAAACAATACCTATTTACAATAATACTATAACATCTTGCAATTTGAAATAACTAGGAAGAAACTAATAATTGGAAATAGTCATTTTTTTGGAAAAGAATGAAAATCTAGAAATTTGTTTAAGTTAGGAAAAGTTGAGTTTTGGTCAACTCCAAACGGCCATAACGCCTAGATCACGATGAGTTAGGTGTACTTCCAGATATGGTTGGGAAGCTCTTGGAATGATCTTTCCAATGCCGCCGAGTTTGCGCGATTCCGAGTTCGTATGAGTAAGTTATGCCCTTAGGAAGTTGGGTTGTTGGATTAAGGAAAGTCTAATCCGGATTTTGGAAGGCTAATTTAGTCTTTTCCTTACCTAATTATTCTAATTCGTTTTTAGGAGTTTAATTGGGGTAAAGTCAGATTTTAGTCAGTTTTAGAAAAGTGAATTTCACGCTAGGGCTTGGAGAAAGGAGAAGAGGAAGCAAGATTCGTCAAGATCGTCGAGTTTAGCTTGTGGATTTCGCGGGGGTGATCCCTACAAGGTATGTGAGATCACATCGCGTTGGGTTAGTTCACCCATGCGCCAACCATGATTCAATTCAGCGAATTTAAGTCTTTGAAAGTTTAGAAATTGAGTTCTTGTTGAACATTGTTGAAAGATTCGTTGAATTTCTTGTGGGTTGTGTTGTTGGAGTTTCTTGCGATTTGATTCATGTTTTCGGGTGAAATTTCGGGTTGAATCTATCATGTATTGAGGGTATAAGTGATTCGAAGTGTTTGGAGAAAGAACCAAGTGAAATTAGAGGGTTTGGAGTTGAAAAACTAAGAAGAAAGTTCGGAGTTTTCTGGGGAGGGAGTTGGCGCGCCTCCCAGAGCGCTACAAAAGTTCCTCTGAACTTTGGGCTCTGGCGCGCCACGCCAACCAGAGGCACCCCAGCAAGCTCTCTGAACTTTGAGGGTTGGCGCCCCACGCCTCTCAGAGCGCCAGGGACGCCAGTTCTCCCCATTTCTTCCCCACCTTTTCATACGTGTTCCTTAGCAATGTACCTATGTTTCTTAGTTGATTCCAACACTCTAAGGTACATCTAAACATCATGAAATCATCCATAAACATGAGATCATGGACCTTGAATCCATAATCCAATTCAAGGAAAGTTAGGTGTAATATCCCATAACTTAAAATACATTTGCGACTGGTAAACACCTATGCATAGATGTAATATCAGGGGAGGTATATTATTGAAAATGGTTAAGCATTCCATGTAACCCTTATATATAGTCATTTTAAAGGTTAAACAAAAGTTTTAGGCCAAAGAGATCATTAAAGAAAAGATTCAAGTTTAAAGGCTCATTGTGGAGGAATACTACAAATGATCTCATTTCTCATCTGACTTTGAACGAGCATATCTCCTAATATATAACGATTTAGAGGTCCTACAACCTATCCAATTAAAGGTATGTGAGTTTAGTTTCCAGCAAAACAAACCGCTCGTTAAAACGACAGCGGAGTAAAGAGTTATGTTCATTCTACGACAGACGCGCGCACTTCCCAATCACTGCGGGACATGTGGTACTTTAGAAAAACTCAGCTAAACTTGTTGTTTTTATATTAGAAGTTTGGGATATACTTTCTCATATACTCAAGAAAGTTTAAGGACTAGTTTTAAGTTATTTCTTCAAGTTTTTCTCATCTTCAATCCTCCAAAGCTTAAGGTAAGTTGGTTTCTTCAAGAATCAAGTGTCTTCCTCTCCATAGACCTATAGATATACTTAGCTAAATATTTTCTTGAAGGAAAAAGTATTGTTCTTGGAGAATAGAAAAGGTCAGGGTCTGTTTATCTTGGATATATAGGTATGACTCCTCTTCTATCTTCATATATAGTATTCCAAGGATTCTTTAAGTATAATTTGCGGGTAAGACTCACGGGATGCTGATAGGAAGCCGTGAGTCCATGTTTTACCCATTATATATGAGATCAACAGAATTCTTAGGGTCATACATATCTCTGAGACTGAGGCAGTTGAATTAGCCTCATATCAGCTAAACGATGTCGCCATTTCTTGGTACGAGATGTGGGTGGACTCTATGGGACTAAATGCCATGATTGAGGTTACACAAAATCAAAGCCAGAAAAGGAAAAAGTGGAATCTGCACTTTCTTCCACTAGAGCTTAGGGAAGCGAGGGTTAATGAATTTTTAAACCTTCGACAGAATAACCTTAGCGTCAGGGAGTATTGCATGAGATTCACTCAGTTGGCTAGATTTTCTCCTGAGATGGTTAGCACCCATGCAAGGATGCATCACTTCATTGGTGGACTTGGGGATCATTTGATTGGTTCTTGCACTGTTGTTGCATTAAATCGGGATATGGATATTGCAAAACTTATGGAACATGCTCAGCAAACAGAAGACCGTATACAAAATCGTAGGGTTGAGAGATATAGGGAACAAAATAAGAGGGCTAGGAGTGCTGGAATATTTCAGGGAGATGCTAGAGCTTACTCCAGTAGAGGTCCTCCCAGACAGGCTCAATCACTAGATCTCTCTACTTCTAGTGCCCCAGCTCAGTCATCAAGACCCAGGCAGGAGCAGACTCAGACCTCGAGGGCACCTAATCCCCACTATCAAAGAGGTGTTAGTCAAGGACTACCACCTCGACCTACTTGTAGGCACTGTTGCCGATCTCACTTGGGAGAGTGTCGATATGGATCTACCGCTTGCTATAGGTGTGGAGTTGAGGGTCATAAGATACTAGATTGTCCCAAGCTTTGAGTTGAAGGTAGAGGTGATAGGTCACAATATACTGGCTCTGCAGGAGCATCCTCACTATCAGCGTCTTCTTCATTGCGTGGCCCTCAACCACTAGCAGGGAGAGGTAGGGGTAGAGGATCTGGTTTTGGAGCTGGCCCAAATCGGATGTATGCACTAGCAGGTCGTCAGGATTCAGAGGCATCCCCAGATGTGGTTACAGGTACCTTATCTATTTTCTCTTATGATGTATATGCATTGATAGACCAAGGGGATACCCTATAATATGTTACTCCATTTGTTTCTAAGAAATTTGGAGTAGAGCCAAAGCTATTACATGAGCCACTTGCAGTATCGACTTCGGTAGGAGAATCTGTTATAGCTAGAAGGGTCTATTACGGGTGCGTAGTTACAATATGTGGCCGTGACACATTGGAAAATTTAATAGAGCTAGAAATGGTTGATTTTGATGTCATTATGGGCATGGATTGGTTGTCATCGTGTTATGCAACAGTTGATTGCCGAGCCAAGATTGCTCGATTCCATTTCCCGAGCGAGCCAGTCCTAGAGTGGAAAGGTAATGCAATGATGCCTAGAGGAAGGTTTATTTCCTATCTTAAGGCACAAAAGTTTATAGACAAAGGGTGTTTATATCACCTCATCCATGTAAGAGACATTCAAGCTGAGAAACAGATGGCGACTCTTCACTCTGTGCCCGTTGTGAATGAATATCCAGATGTGTTTCCTAACGAACTTCCTGGACTACCTCCAATTAGAGAGATGATTTTTGTATTGATGTAGATCCCGGTACCCAGCCTATATCCATTCCGCCTTATAGAATGGCGCCAGCAGAATTGAAAGAGCTAAAGGAGAAGCTGAAAGATTTGCTTGACAAAGGTTTCATTCGCCCTAGCATATCACCTTGGGGTGCTCCAGTACTATTTGTACGCAAGAAGGATGGCACGATACGGATGTGTATAGATTAGAGACAACTTAATAAAGTGATGATAAAGAACAAATACCCCCTTCCAAGGATAGATGATCTATTTGATCAATTGCAAGGAGCTAAGTTCTTTTCAAAGATTGACTTGAGATCCGGATATCATCAGCTGAAGATTTGAGAAGTAGATATTCCCAAAACAGCCTTCCAAATGAGATATGGACACTTTGAGTTCCTTGTCATGTCATTTGGACTAACAAATGCTCCAGCAGCCTTTATGGATATGATGAATAGGGTTTTCAAACCCTTTCTTGATATGTATGTGATTGTATTTAGAGATGACATCTTGATATATTCACGTGATGCCAGAGAACATGCAAATCACCTGAGAGCTGTCCTACAAACACTCAGAGAGCACCAACTATATGCCAAGTTCTCTAAATGTGAATTATGGATGAACTCTATGGATTTTCTTGGCCATGTGGTCTCTAGTGAAGGCATTAGAGTAGACTCCCAAAAGATTGAGGCTGTAAAGAGTTGGCCTCGACCTATCACTCCGACGAAGGTGCGTAGTTTCTTGGGACTTGCTGGATATTACCGTAGGTTTGTAGAGGGCTTCTCCTATATTTCTGCACCATTGACCAAGTTGACGCAGAAGGCAGAGAAGTTTCAGTGGTCTGATGCGTGTGAGAAAAGTTTCCTAAAGTTGAAAGATAGATTGACTAAGGCACCAGTATTGGCCTTACTGGAGGGTACAAAAGGGTATGTAGTTTATTTTGATTCTTCAGGCATTGGCCTAGGGTGCATCTTAATGCAGCAAGGGAAGGTGATAGCATACGCTTCTCGACAATTGAAGAAACACGAACAAAACTACCCCACTCATGATTTGGAGCTTGCTGCAGTGGTATTTGCGCTTAAGATTTGGTGACACTATTTGTATGGGGTACATGTTGATATATTTACAGATCATAAGAGTCTCCAATATCTTTTCAAGCAAAAAGGTTTGAATATAGAAGATGGTTAGAGTTGTTGAATGACTATGATGTGAACACTCTCTACCACCCAGGTAAAGCTAACGTGGTAAAAAATGCTCTTAGTCGACTATCTATGGGCAGTCTGGTACATTTACCATGTGTACAACAGGAAGTAGTACGAGATGTTCACAAATTAGCTAGCCAAGGAGTTCGACTTATAGAAGCCGGAGATGGAGGCGTAGTCGTACAGAATATTGTTGAATCATCATTAGTGGCATTGATGAAAGAAAAACAATATGATGACCCAATATTTCTACAGTATCGAGAAGGGATTCGTGAGCACCGAATTACTGCATTCGATTTAGCAGAAGATGGCACCTTAAGATGCCAAGGCAGACTGTGTGTTCCAAATATAGATGGGTTAAGGCAGAAAATCATGGATGAAGCACATTGTTCCCGATACTCAATTCATCCAGGCTTCACAAAGATGTATCATGACCTTAAGAAGGTCTACTGGTGGAATGACATGAAATGGAATATTGCGGAATATGTGGCACAATGCTCCAATTGCCAACAAGTTAAAGAGAACATCAGAGGCCCAGGGGCCTAGCTCAGACTATGGACATTCCAATATGGAAATGGGTTTCATTACAGGTTCTCCTTTCTTTTTTAAGAGAAATGATTCCATTTGGGTAATAATTGATCAGTTGATGAAATCAGCCCACTTCTTGCCAGTTAAATCCAGCAGCACAGCTGAAGAATATGCCAAGCTATATGTAAGGGAAGTTGTTCTCTTGCATGGGACTCCATTATCTATTATTTCAGATAGGGTGCCCAATTTACGGCACATTTCTGGAGATCATTCCAGAAGAGTTTGGGCACACAAGTGAACCTTAACACTGCATTTCACCTGCAAAGAGACGGCCAAGTCTAACGCACTATTCAAACACTCGAAGATATGTTGAGAGCATGTGTTTTAAACTTTAAAGGTAATTGGGATGATCATATGCCCTTGATAGAATTTGCCTACAATAATAGTTATCATTCAAGCATTGTCATGGCTCCATTTGAAGCTCTCTATGGGTGTCGGTGCAGATCGTCTATTGGTTGATTTGAAGTAGGTGAAACTTAAATATTAGGACCAGACCTTGTTCACCAAGCCATTGAAAAAATAAAGTTGATAAAAGAGCGACTGAAAACGGCTCAAATTTGACAAAAATCATATGCAGACGTACACCGTAGAGACATAGAGTTCCAAGTTGATGATTAGGTATTCTTGAAGGTATCCCCTATGAAGGGAGTTATGAGATTTTGGAGGAAAGGTAAGTTAAGCCCTAGGTATATTGGGTCATGTAAAGTTATACGTAGAGTTGGCCAGGTAGCCTATGAAATGGATTAGCCTCAAGAGTTAGTTGCAGTACACCCAGTCTTCCATGTGTCGATGTTACGCAAATGCTTGGGAGATACTACATAGGTTATTCCCATAGAAGGTATGGAACTCTCAGAACACTTATCTTATGAGGAAGTCCCAGTGGCAATATTGGACCGACAGGTCAGGAAGTTGAGGACAAAAGATGTAGCATCAGTCAAGGTACTTTGGAGAAGTCAGAATATAGAAAAAGCCACATGGGAAACAGAGGCTGGCATGAGGATCAAGTATCCCCACTTGTTTCAGTAGCCACACAAAGGTTCTTAAAGTCATAACTCCTCTCATTTGAGTATCAGTTTTTCTCGTACTTTGTAGTACGGCTTTATTATATGTTATATGTTCAGGTACTTGAAACAGACACCACATGTTCCTCAGAGTTAAACCATCCACAGTATAAGGTATGTTATATTAGCTAGTGTAGTTTACATTCGTATAAGGCCAAGCAGAGCCTAGTGAATAAATGTTGCATATTATTACGTGGTGATGCTCTCTGAAGCATTGTGTGTGTATTTTGGTTGGCTGACAGGTTTTGGATAGGCCTGTTTACAAAGGAAACTCTGCCAAATTTTTTAAAAAAAATAAGAGAGTTTGAATCATCTTAAGGAGTTGCCTTCATTCGAGGACGAATGATCCAAAGGGGGGGATAATGTAATAACCTGTAATACATTTGCGACTCGTAAACACCTATGCATAGATATGATATCGGGGGAGGTATATCATTAAAAATGGTTAAGCATACCATGTAACCCTTATATATAGTCATTTGAAGGTTTAAACAAAAGATATAGGCCAAAGAGATCATTAAAGAAAACATTCAAGTTTAAAGGCACATTGTGGAGGAATACTACAAATGATCTCATTTCTCAACTGACTTTGAACGAGAATATCTCCTAATATATAACAAGTTAGAGGGCCTAAAACCTATCCAATTAAAGGTATGTCAGTCTACTTTCCAGAAAAATAAACCGCTCGTTAAAACGATATCGGAGTAAAGAGTTATGTTCATTCTACGACAGACGTGCGCACTGCCCAATCACTGCGGGACATGTGGCACTTTAGAGAAACTCGGCTAAACTTGTTGTTTTTATATTAGAAATTTGGGATATACTTTCTCACATACTCAAGAACGTTTAAGTACTAGTTTTAAGTTATTTCTTCAAGTTTTTCTCATCTTCAATCCTCCAAAGCTTAAGGTAAGTTGGTTTCTTCAAGAATCGAGTGTCTTCCTCTCCATAGACCTATAGATATACTTAGCTAAATGTTTTCTTGAAGGAAAAAGTATTGTTCATGGATAATAGAAAAGGGCAGGGGCTGCTTATCTTGGATATATAGGTATGACTCCTCTTCTATCTTCATAAATAGTATTCCAAGGATTCTTTAAGTATAATTTGCGGGTAGGACTCACGGGACGATGATAGGAAGCTGTGAGTCCATGTTTTACCCATTGTAGTTTATGTTTTCGTGAGGAGGGAGTTTGTAGAAGGATGTGTTGGCTGTTGTTTTGACCAAATGAGGGGTCAATGGTATTGTATTGGGAAAGTAAGTTGGTTACATTAAAACGGAAGGCTAGGTATAGAGAATGCAACTCTAATAGTTCTTGAAAGTTTGTCGCTCACCAAGTGTTTGATGAAATGCCTAAATCGCTAAGAATATGTTGTAGTTGGTTATATGAGCTCCTATTATTTTAATTTATGGCATTAGTTCTCTACCAACTTAAACTATAAGCTTATAAAGGAATTTGACATTGTTAACAAGGAACCTGTGGGATGGTGATCAGAGGCCATGAGTTTTACTTTTATGTTAAGTGTGGATGATTAAGGGGGCTGGTTCTTTATGGTTAAAGGATTGAGGAGTAATATTGAACATGTAAATAAGTCATAAGCCTACTTGGAAAGTAGATAAATAGAAGGGTGTGGTGATACACCATTCATCTATGGTAATTGTTGAGACTGTCGCTCGCGAATTACTATTGTGTTTTTGGCATTGTCGTGACTCTTGATTAGTTTCTTATACTATCCTTTTATGATTTTATGCTATAGATAAAGTTGTCAGCAAAGGAGTTTGACGACGTAAGATAGTAAGTCCCGAAGTAAGGTATGTAAAGCTAAAACCTCTTTTGCCCTTAAGGCACGACCTAAACTCGCATGTTCTTCCCATAAAGATCACTAGAGATTCTATGATACTTGAAAGAAAGTTTTCATACTTTATAAACCCTCTCATGTTGATTCCTAAACCTATAGAGGTACAGTACTCTTCAAGGAAGCAATATGTTTCACACAACTATATTTGTCTACAGTTGAAACTCTTAGAAGTTAGCGGTGTACATGTTGCATAAATTTAAAGAAAGCAGCCAGCCACTGACTGTTCGTAAGTGTATAGGTTACAAGATATATGATTCTCAAGATAAAGAAATTAATCACGAATTGTATCATGAGCTATGTTATTAATGAATTAATTA